ATGTAACCAAAAACATATGATTGACCTTGCTTATTCATCTTCAATGCACCACATTTAGTATGAATAAATCAACTATTAATGTGATTGCTCAATATGTAAGGGCTTTGAGTATTGGGTTTCTAATTTTGTTGGCTTTCAACTAACGCAATTGAAAGTCATTCGCTCCTATAAGGTGTCACCAACATATGCTATGAACAACATATTAGGCATGTCAATAAGAGACCTCTAGTACCCCAATGACTACCAACCAACCCTATGATCACAATTCTCAAATGAATGTTGATCTCTGTCCATGTCAACTTCTTTCACTGAAAAAATTTATTTCTCAATTTTAATTGTTAATAGAATCTTGTATGCGAGAATACATAAAGATTATTATCTTACTCTTGACTGTAAAAAGTGAAGAAAAAAAAATTACGTTGAGACATGCATGACGAGGAGAGAAAAAGATAAATTGTATATATTTATATAAATTTTGTAATAAATAAATAAAGTTTATATATTTACACACGGGTCAGTTTTTTAGGATTAATTTATGAGTATTACTTCATAATTTTTTTAAATTCTTACATGATAACAGTGTATAGTGTCAAAGAAAAAGCTAAATGTGTTGTATAGTGTTAAAAGTACGTAAAAGAATTAATCTTCAGATATAATTTATCTGTATTAATTTTAAAATAACAGTGTTTTAAAATTATTTTTAAACGGAAGTATGTTTAACATTATTCTCAAACGATATTGATTTTAAGATTATTATTTTTTACTATGTTAAAAAAAATTTATATTATATATTTATTTTTAAAATTGATTAAAATTTTAAAAAAATTATATAGTATATTTTTAATTACTTATTTTAAAAATATAAATTTAATTTAATGATACTTGTTGAATTAAAAAAATCATTAATTCTTTTAATATGTAGAATAAGAATTTTCTCATATGTGAATGGATTGACTAATAGCTGCTTGACTAGCAAGCACACGTTTGAACCGAAGAATTGTTGATGAAGGAAGAAAAGTTGTTTACTCTTTCTGAAAAATAAAATAAAACAAAATTATTTATTTTAGAAATAAAAAATATTATACTTTTTTAAATTAATGTAATTTTTAATATTTTAAAAATTAAAAAATATTTATATTTTTTAAAATAAATTATTAAATTTACTATTTATAAAATTAACAATAATTTTTATTTTACATATAAAAAATATAAAACATTATCTTAATTTATAAAACATCTTAAAATTATTTAAAAATAGACTGAACTCCTCGGAGCAACACGTGTACCGCCAAATAATCAATTAGTTTGGTCTCCTCTACCGCTCAATTTTGATAAGGAATGATGACACTGATAGTCAAGTTTGGCCTTCTTCGCGTTCCGAACTTATGCTAAAGGCCAATAAATGTATTTTTCTTTTTCATAATTGAAGAGTATTTTTTTATAGTAATTTTTATTTTAAATTTATTATTTTATTTTAAATTAAGTATTCTCGTTGTATTCCTCTTATTCAAATTTTTAAATATTTAATCTTTAAAAAATTAAAGATTTAGTGTAAATTTATAACAGAAAATTATTTTAAAAGTTCGAAAGTTTAAAATTTGAAAAAATGGTGAAGAAATAATTTAGGATTTAAAGAAAATTTGAGATTTTTTTATATTAGATACATGATTTTGTTAACCTCATGCTTTAAGCATGTAAGAGTATAAGTACTGTTTTTAATAAAGTTTTAATATTATTATTTGTTTAAATTTAATCCTAAAGTTTAAATTTAATGTTTTGTCAAATAAAATATAATATTCTGATCGGCAGGAGTGAAAGAGGTCTTAAAAAAATTTAAATTGTTTGTCAGTTTTAGAAAATAAAAAGCAATGTGTATTTTATTACTTTCTTAGGTAAAATACAAAAATTCCATTTTTAATTATCTTCTTTATTTTATTTAAATTATAAAATAAAGTTGATTTTTATATATATAACTGATGTTTTAATTTTGTTTCGTTTTCGTGGTGTTTTCATGAAGTGATTGAGAGAGCATAAATAGTTCTTGAGTTTTTTAATACTTTATAAAGGATAACTAAGTCAACACAGTTATTTTTTAATAAATTTGTTTATCATTTGAATCAATGAGTATTTAAAATACTGAAAAAAATGAATATTTTGAAACAAAAATATCATATCGTTAAATTTGTATGATTATAGTTTTCATCAAAAGATCCTGTAACAATACAATTATATTTTCATTTAAAAGAACTATTATGATAGTTTATGCAGATACCCATGGTCTACACTTTTAAGTTAAAATTTATTCCTTTTAAACTGAGTTAATATCTTCATCTACTTTTCTTAAGAAATAATAAATTTGATTTTTACTTTCTCCTCTTGAAAATTTCATATTTTAATTTTTCAATTAAATATGCATTTTCATTCATTTTTATTTTTAATTTTATTTCTAATTTTTTTATAACTATAAAATATTCATCCATCAATAGAAATTCATGAAAAATTAATAAGTATATTGATAAATGATAGTCTTTGAAAAAAGTATAATTTAAGCAAATTTTTAAGAAAAAAATCAGTATAAAATATAAATAAAATTTATTTTATAAATTAGAAATAACTTATATATTTTAAATTTTTTTAAAAAATTATCTAAAATAAGAACGATTTCAATCAAAACTTATTCCGACCTTGATTTATTTTTAAAAAATAAAATAAAATAGTGTCTCTTTCTTATAAGAGTAATTATTTAAATCAGTTTCTAAAAATTTTGGTAGACCTAATTTAATTCTTAAAAATTAAAATTGCTAAATAATTCTCAAAAGTTTCTTTCATTAAATAAGTTACTTTTCCTTTTTTTGGTTTAAACTACATATATTTTTTATTGGATAATTTTATTCAAGTTGGACATGACTACAAGTTACTCTTGTGTTTTATTTAATTTAATAGAATTATTAACCTAATTTATTAACTAGGTGGATGACACATGTGATTTTCATTCTATAAAAAAAATTTGTAAAATTTTTTCTAAAATTAAATTGATATCTGAAAAAAAAAATTACTACAGTCGATTTATGTATATTTTTAATAATAAAACCAATTTTTAAAGACTAATTTAACTTTAAAATGTTTTTAAATATTAACCTCAGTTACTCAAAAAGAAACATCTTAATAAAAAGATTAGTATGTCTCAAAAAGAAATTTTTAAAAATTGTTTAATGATTTTTATTTTTAAAAAACTAAATTAAATTTCATGAATTTCTTTCTAAATCTTTATAAATATTTTTTTTTTTTGGTTTTTGAGTTTATTGAGGTCAAGTTTCATCTTAAAAAAAAATATTACAAACACTTTTTTCAATACATTTTTAATTATTAATTAAAAATTATTGAAAACTATAGAAATAGAAAAAAGAAATATTGATTTATAAGTCATAAAGAGTAAGACTCAAGATAACTTTTATAATTTTTAATAAATTTTAATTAATAAATAAAAGTATATTAAAATAAATGTATTACAAAGTGTGTGTTAGCATAACTAAATTTGCAAGACTTCGAAATTTATTCAAATTTAAAATTTAAAATGAGTGTAGCTTATTTATTTGATATGAATTATGTTTTTTAAGTTTATTTAAAAATTCAATATAACTTGTAAATTATTTAAAGTTTTATTTTATAACAAGGTACAACAAATTTTGCCACCTTTACTTGTTGACACTGCCACCATCTGTTTCTTATTGGCCACGACCATGAGCTCTCATTGCAATCATCGAGTTTTCACCTTTAGTAAATTTGCTGATAAAACGACACTATTAGCAATGGAGTCCCTTAGTTTGCTCGGCTTTGACTCCAGCATTGAGTGTTACATGCTAATCCGAATCGCCATTTTGCACGATGCATATTGCGTTTGAAGTATACTTGCACAAAACATTTTCTTATTCCATTTTAGAATCTACTTTTAATGACTATTTCTTTTAGCACTAGCATTAAGCAAAATCAATCAAGTTTAATTGTACGATTTTTGAAAAATTATTTGCTCGTGTCTGGTTTATATTATTTTGAGAAATTTTATTGAATATTACAACCCCAAAGTCTAACTTTATTTAAAAAACAATACAAAAAATACTCAAGATAATGTAATTATTTTATCCTAATAAAAAAATTTAAAAATGTTATTAATTTTCTTCCTTCCTCGTGTGTAAAAGTAATCCTCTAAACAATCGATAGAGAAGAATTTGTGTATAAAAAAGTATGCTCTTTTCTTATATTTCCATCATTATGCCCTGTGGGGTTGCTTTATTCTTTTAAAAATTTTCTTTTTATTCTCACTTTCCTTCCTCGATGCTCCTTTATGCTGTAATGTGATGCTCCTTCACAAGACAGTTTACCACTACCAGTTTCCTCTTCATTTTTGCTTACTTCAATTTGCCATAACAATAAAGTCAGCAAGATATAAAGCTTTTTATAGGCAGGAATCTGGGCTACACACCTGACAAGGTACGCAACAACAATTTTTCTTGTCTACGATGAAACACCAACATGGTATCATCCTTAGTTAACAACTTTTGTTGTCTGTGTTGAAGCATGACATAGCGATTGCATTGTTACCTAATCTCCCTATATCTAAAAGAATATAATAAAAAACAAAAAAGGCTATGCATTCTTTATGACTAAAAGCATAGAGTTTATGCTAATTAATATAAGTTTTTTTTATCGTGTGTGTAAAGACATATAATAAAAAAATAATAAATAATAAATTTTTATTAAAAACTAAAGTGTTTAATGTTACTGTCTGATATTTAATGTGTTAAATTATGCGAATTTTATAAAAACTTACTAGGTTCTTATCACGTTAAAAAAGGCATAAATAATTTTATTCTTCTGCAGATCAATGTCGGCTACGTTGCCAAGCCTCTTATTTATTTAAGAGTCGTAAGAAAATACTGGTACCTTTTATGATTACATATTGTAAACGGTTATTAATGTCATGTTGGCCCATATCATATGCTATGAGTTGTTTATGTGATGTTCACAGGAACACATCCAGTCGTCGTTTATTTATGGGTTCTCTCTATTTTTGAATTTTTCTATTCGTGATTGAGTGGCGTATGCTGTAATTACAGCCCTACTCTGTGGTTTGCTTTTTCTCTTCACTTTCACGTTCAATGACATTAACGTGCTCTTAATTTGCTGCCAGTCATAATACATGTTAATGTTTTTTAGAAAGATAATGGGACAAAATTCGTACGTTTTTCAGTCTACAAGTTGTATTTTGGATTTTTTTTAAATGAACATTGTACATGAGTTTCTTTCTTTTTTTTTCGCAGATGTATATTTTTTTACACAAGTGTTTTTTGTTTGCCTGTAGGATTGGCATAGGATTTTGAAGATTTGTGATAATGGCGTTTATACAACTCTTTGCTGTTGCCTCTTTTCCCGTGATAAAAGTTTTACTGTTGACTGCACTTGGCTTGTTTCTAGCACTGGATAACATATCTATTTTGGGAGAAGATGCAAGAAAAAAAGTGAATCAGGTAACTACTACAATACTGGAAAAATTTTTCTTTTTCTTTTTTGGTCTTACCCTTGTGTTGTTTATTGACTAAGATGCTCTTTCTGTGACAGCTTGTGTTTTATGTGTTTAATCCATCACTGGTGGGTAGCAATCTGGCCGAAACGATTACTTATGAGAGTGTTGTTTTGTTGTGAGTATTGAGTTGTATTCATAGTATGTTCAGGAGCTACAGATTTGAGGGTTTTTGTTTTTTATTTGAATTCAGAGGTTTTGTGACACTTTTTGGTTGTCATTTAGGTGGTTCATGCCGGTCAATATTCTTTGCACATTCATATTAGGTTCGGCCTTAGGATGGATTGTGATTAAAATCACTAGGCCTCCCAAACACTTGGAAGGTCTAATCTTGGGTTGCTGTTCTGCAGGTATTTAACTCCTCTGCACAAATAAATGAATGCAGGAAGCGACAGCTGAAACCTTAGTGTTAGTGATTCATTTCTTAATAGTGGATTTGAGATATGAGAAATTATAAATCATCAAAACGAAAATGCTGCTTCATAGTCTGTCTTATCGTTTTGAAAGTTATGTGAGTTTACTTTCCCTGAGATTGAATCAAGCTTGTGTGTCACCTGTGGAGTTGTACAATTCTGCAGATTCTAAAATAAAAAAACAAAATAAGGAATTCTACTATGAAACAATGTTAATGTTAAGTTGGACTGAAGGAGTTCCTTATACCTGAGGTTTATGTCACCCAATTCTGGGTTTTTCTGACTAATGATAAGCATATGACTGTTGTACACTGAAAAGTTCTACTTAAACTAAGAAAAAATCTTGCACTTGTTGTGTGCCTGCATTGTAATTTCCTTCCACTCTGTGAAAGTATTTCTTTGATCGTGCCCGTGGTTTTTCTCTTATCACTTGAGGGTTTCCATGTTGAATATTGTGTGTCAATTCTTATTTTATTTTCAACCCTATCTTAACTGCGTGATACTATTCCATTACTCTGTTACCCTACATGCATTACATTTGGACTATTATTTTTATTCAAGCTTCAAACTTTTGCACCATTCCCTGCCTGATCCATTTTTTGGTTGAACTCATCTTTTAGATTAATATGAACAGGAAATTTAGGAAACTTGCCTATGATCATTATTCCGGCTATATGCAAGGAGAAAGGTAGTCCTTTTGGAGATTCTGATGTCTGCTATCAATATGGGATGGCTTATGTTTCACTTTCGATGGCGGTATATGACTTAATTAGTTCCTCAGATGCTAATTTTGAAGTTGTTATTGCTAATATAGAGTGCATTTATCCTAGAAAAGAATAAAGTTCTATTTAGTTATAGCTGATTTCTTGTTTTTTTTTGTTGTTTTTTTTTTTTTTTGAATTGGGGTTCTATGGAGAATTTAGATTGGAGCAGTTTTTCTATGGTCATATGTTTTCAACATAATGCGAATTTCTTCAAGGAGAATCCAAAATGAAGGTAGCAAGTTGAAGGCTTCTGAGGAAATGCCACAGCCAGACAATTTTTCAGAGACTCAAAATCCTGCAAAAGATGCCCTGAATGATGCATATGCCATACTGCTTCCTAAAGAAGAATCAGAGGAACAAGCAAAGGTTGCTACAAACTTCCCTTTTAAAATATATTTACTGATTGTAATTTCGGAATAGCTTTCTTTGCAGGCATTGCATTACTAGCAATTGCATTTTAAAAGATCAAGAGGAAAGAACAAGCTTATAGCTTATGTATATAATGCTTCTAAGAATGCTCACAACACAATGACATAGTATTCCCAAGTTCCAATGCATTCTTTATTATTAGATAAACGTCATGGGGAGTCCCCCTAAATAACCCTGGCTTAATCAATAATAAGTGTTAGAAAGAGTGTGTAGCTAACGTTACTATGATGCACTTATTTCGGTAAATTCCACTTTAATTAAGAAATATAAGTTTCTATTTCAAAATGAATACATATTATGGTACACAGTAGAGGGAGAAAATCAATTTTTGTTTCCAAGTTTTCTTTTCCCTTTTACTTAGGAGGTGTATGTCAGACTGAGTTCAAACTGAACAGCAGAATTAGCTCTCCAAGTTGCATAATCCTCAATATAATCCAACCAAGCATCTTTGCTTTTACAATCTCAATTTATTTTATTTTATAGATCTTATGACTGATCTCTTTCTAAATGCTAGAGAATTAACCTAACTAATGATCATTATATCACTCAGTATAATAATGTTCATTATTAAGTCACATCACACAATCTTCTGTTATTCTTTCTTTGTATCTGTCTTATGAAGAGAAATGGAGTCACAAAAATATTTTGGTGTTTTCTTCAGATTTCAATCGCAGATAAAATTAAGCACAACTTTAGGATGGTTTCAAGCAACTTCAATTTCAAAGCCATATTTGCACCATCAACCCTTGGAGCAGTAAGATACAGTTCATTTCCTTGGAAACAACTAGCAATCTTATTTTCCTTCTCTATAATTCACTTATATTTGGTGCATATTTAGTTATAGAGGTTGCACTAGTCTTAGTTCACAGATAATTTTTAGTATAGGATTTTTAAATGTGAAAGCAGGGAATGCATGAACATGAATTAGTTTGATCTTTGATGCCCATGGACATTTACTATGCTAAAATTTACATTAGGCCATGTATTGCCACATTAGCAGCATTACATTTTTCCCTTTTCTTTACTGTTTTTTTTTTTAAGTATTTCCTTTTAATTTTAGGAAAGATGTTGGATCTAGAGAGCAATAATCATAGTACTTATTATCCCCCTATTGCAAACCTTATTTCAGACGAGTACTGTTTGTCTAAAATAGATTAAGTGCTTTCTGTGAGTCACCAAATAAACGTGTTCTGTATTTTTGTTTTTAACAGATTGCTGGCTTTATCATTGGTGTAATCCCCCAAATACGCAATTTCGTTATAGGCAGTGATGCTTCGCTTCACGTTGTCGAGGACTCTCTTTCCATGTTGGGGTATGCTTATATAAACTTAAGTGTTGTTTGTTATAATAAATTCACAATTAAAGAGTTTATAGTTTATTTTTTCGATAAATTAGTAGAACATTTTGATAAACAAAAGATTAAAAAAAATTATAATTTTTAAAAGCTAACTTATAAAAGGTTATTCTGAGTTAGCCTTCAATTTATTTGAAGCTAACTTTCAATATATTTTTTTATTTTATCTTTAATCCTTTAAACAACTTACATTCACAGAAAATACTTTTAATACTTATTTTTAGTCATTTAATATATTTTAACTAGTTGTATAATTAATTTTATCAAACAGTTTTAAACTTTTAATTCAATTAGTTAATTATAAACTATAAACTTTTACCTACATTATAGTTATAAGTTATAAATTATAAATGTTAGCTAATTTTACTCAATAGCGCCGTATCTTCGATATTTGTGTAGTTACAAAAGATCCTGAGTCAAAAAGTTTGCTGAGGACTTGTTTCAACTACAATTGCATGCTATTTGTTTGACGTCAAAGTTAGAAATGATGGTTAACACTTTTTGCTATCTAACAAATTGAAATATTCAAAGTTTGCTGCTCAAAAGTTCCATGCGTTAGTGTATAACATCATATGCATCAAATCGATGCTAAAAGGAATAGTCACTTGCTTTTTATGTTTGTGCACGTCCCAACTTTCAAAGGCCTTTATTATGTCTACACTTGCAATGTTTATTACCCAATTCGGTCGAATTTTTCATGCCATATGATATTCTAAAGATGTATAAATATTATTTCCTTTTATATGATCTTACTTTAGGGATGTTGTTAGGAGAAAAATTAGGGAAAGCAATAAAAATGGTTTTGACAACCAAATCCAACAGTTTTTATTCAATTGAAGACAGCTCTCACTTTCATTTCTCTCTGTCATTACTTCCAGTGACGCAGCCATCCCAACCATCACTCTTATTATGGGTGCAAACCTACTCAAAGGTGAATTTTTTATATTGTGGTTTTCAAAAGAGACCAGTTATTTTGTGTTTATTTTACTTTGGTGATTTGTTTAAAAAGAGAAAATAATTATGGGTGTTATTATGGGTCAGGTTTGAAAGGAACAAGTACATCATTGTGGACCATTGTGGGAATTATAGCGGTTCGTTATATTTTGTTGCCTCTTTTGGGTGTTTTAGTTGTTAAAGGGGCAATAAAGTTGGGGTTGGTGCAATCAAATCCTCTGTATCAGTTCGTGCTTCTACTTCAATATGCACTTCCACCAGCCATGAATATAGGTACCCTAGCTCTGCTTTTTTACATAGTAATAAGTCCCCACCGGTTATTTATAATTTTAACCCGTTTTTATTACTCATAAAATTCATATAAATGAGGCCTGATAAATTGAAAGTGTGACCAACTAAATTGAAAATGATACCTACATCATTCAATAAGAACGATGTTGATTTTGCTCTATAATAAAAGGCACGGCGAAAGAAAAAAGTTTTTGCGTTTATAATTATTTCTTACAACATAAGTAATATGCTATTGTTATTAAGTGATGGGAAAGGATCTTCTTATACCAGCATCTAAAAATTCTTACACTTAATCTAAATCTTTTATTTAATTTACATCTAACTGCCAGTAAAATAATAAATTATAACCTGTTAGATGTATATTAAATAAAAAATTAAGATTGAATGTAAAATTTTTTAGGCTTACACCAGTGTAAGAAGATCGTGTCATTTATCTTTAATTTTTCAATAAATCTTAAAAAAAATACTTTTCAAAATTGAATAAAATAATTAACTTACTTAATATATAAATATTATCTTATTTTACTTTCTTAAAGCTTTATTTTTCTTTACTGTACTAAAATTAGAGCGAATGAGACTAACAAATGACTTTTAAAATAAGAAAATTTTCACTTTATCTTTCATATATTTATTCATATACAATTTTAATTTTAATTTTTAAAAGTGTAAAAATTGATGTCTTATATTTTAAAAAATGTACAAAAAAGGATTTTGCTACCCCAATAGTCTAATTTTTCTATTTTTTGAATAAAATTACTCAAATTTTTATTCTTCTTTCTCTTTATGCTGTGACAATATGTTTTAGATATTTTTATTTAAAAAAATTAGATATCTAAACAACACAAAAATTTTCTTAGTACTATTTTAATGGGTATGTATTTCAAAAATCAAAGTCTAAAGTGTATATGATTAAACAAATAAAAAGGTAAAATATACTTTTTTTCTTTAAAATATGGATGAATTAAAAAAGCTATTCATTAAACTACAATGAATTTATCTAAATACCTTGGATAAATAATTATAGTTTAAGTATACTAATAAAAAAAAGACATTATATTAAACATTACGTCAAATTTTATTTAGTTTTTAATTAAAAGGGCTCATTAATATCATAGTTTTGTTAACGCTTTATTTTCCTTTGGCAGGAACTATGGCTCAGTTGTTTGGATCCGGTGAAAGTGAATGTTCTGTTATCATGTTATGGGCATATGCTTTGGCGTCAATTGCAGTAACCCTATGGTCAACCTACTTCATGTGGCTAGTGTCTTGATTTTCTATTCATTAATTAATAATATTGTTATTGTTTTATCAGTTTTATTAATATCAGATTTTAGATTGAGTTTGGAAATTTAAAAATAATAAATTTTTATTAGAAAATAAAGTATTAGTTATACCTTTGTATCTCTAGTATAATAAGTACTTTATTTTATAATAAAAATTTACTATTTCTTTGAATGTTTAAATTTAACTACAAGAAGTAGAAGTTAGGTTTACATAATCTTTATTTTATTATTTTTTGAGATCTTCTTACATACTCTATTTAATTTTTTTATTAATTTAAATTGAGTTGCGTGGATTTATTTAGAAAAAAGAAAAAATTAATATCTATTTTTAATAATTTTTATTTTTAAATAATTAATTAAACTTTAAAGATTAATGTTAACATAATTATTATTTTCTTATTATCTGAGATTTTTTTTTCATGTACGTACCACTTAAGTTTTTAATTAATCAAAATTAAGTTGGATAATTTATTTAAAAAGATAAAATATTTTTAATATCTATCTGTTTTATAACATTCTATACTACTCTACTATATTTTCTTATATATTTAAGAAAAATGTATACTTATTTAATAAGTTTAAGCATTTGAATATGTTAAAATTTATCTAAATAAATATCTGTTAAATTATAATATAAAATTATAGCTTTCATTTTTAATAAAAAAAAATATCAATTTTAAAAGCAAAAATTAAAGTCGATGAGTACTAACAAAATTATTTATTTAAATAACGAAGTAGATTAATAATAAAATTGATATACAGTAAGTGAGTTTAACTAGGCCTAGAAGTTATGGAAGTTATGTCATTGGCTTTGAACGAGTAGTCTTAGTTATATCTCCCCACTTATTACTTGTTTATGGGCACATTTACCTAGTATTGTGAACATCAAGCATAAAATTGATTTTTTTAAAACTATTATAATATTTATAATTTTTTTTATCAAATTCATAAGCAAAATTAATGATGACAATAATTATGTTAAAGTAATTTTATTGCAAAATTAGTAGTGTGTTACACTTCTACTCCTTTTCATCCACACTTACTAATTCATTATATAATGTTTGTAATTAAATAAAAAAAATTTCAAACAAGCAATCCTATTTCCATAAGCTCGCTATCATCATAAACCAACATCAACACACATGGATACATGCTTAAAACCTATGTGGACCTCTTCAATTTTGCCAATTTCTACTGAAATTTCACGTTGGTAGAGTGTTGCTCATGTTAAATGCTAAAAGTTACAAGGTCAAAAACTTCATCTACTCATTTAAAATAATGACATTGCACATCTTTTGCATATCTCAAGAACAATCTTTTAGGATTATTATATATTTTGGAAGTTCAACAATGTGGTTTATCACCACAACAAAAAAGTGAGTATTGTTAGATCCATTTATTTCAGCTTCATTTGTTAGTTCTATATTTAGAGCTAACATTGTTGTTGAATCTAACATCTGTTGTAAACTATATATTTTAAAAGTACTTTTAATAAAATATGCTACAAGCTTTCAAACAAGCTAGCAAGAGAGATGGTCAACACACAAATGAATTATGAAATATATTTATTATTATTCTAATTGTTAGAATTATTTGCTTTTATTCTGAAAATTATGGTAATTAATTTTAATCATTATTCTTATATTTGTTACTCTATACATATTTTTCAAATATAAAATTATTGAGATGGATTTTCAGTGAATGTTTTTCCGAGTCACTCTTAAAAAATTTCTTGATCTTTTCCTATCTTTTGGTTACAATTTTTTTACTAGTTTTGTTCCTGATTTCTGTTGCTGGAGATTACGCTTAGGCGAATAAATTCTTAAAGGCAATATTATCACACGCCTCAGCCTAAGTTATTTTTACATCTTAAGAACTTATAAATGACTGACAACTATGTTGTTACTACTTACTTCCGAATTTACTAATAATGACAAAGCTCTGCAGCCCACTAAAGATGTAATCATTACGCATGCACCTCAATCACTTTTGCTTTTCTTTGCAAAGCCATCTAATGATATGTCAAAAATTGAGGTTTTGGGTGGAAATAACGTAAAGACAACTTTTGATATCTTCTTGAAATATAAAGCTGAAGTAGAGAAGTAATTAAATAAAAGAGAGTTAAATCAAATGAGTAATGATGTACTTTATTGTAATCCTCTCACTGACACTAAAAATGCAAAATTTTTAAAACACATTTTTTTCCTCTTAAAATAAATTATTTTTCAAAAAAAAACTTTGACTAATAATTCTCAAAATATTGTGTCTGATATTTTTAAATACCCAAATGAGAATTTGTGAAGAAATAAAAGATAAAAAAAATAAAACTTCTCTTGGAAATAATTTATATATATATATATATATATATATATTTATTTATTGATATTTTTTTTTGTTAAGTATCAATATTTTATTAAAGATAAAATATGAGTAAAGGGATACTCTAACCTATTATATATCTAAAAGGAATTAACCTTATTAACCATCTTTTAACTTTTTATGAAGTCATTTCTTCTCTTAATGCTAAATTTTAGAAATAAGAAATTAAAATCTAATGGTTCTAAATGGATTTTTAAAAGAAAATGTAACCAGAATAATTTTATTGAAAAATATAAAGCTCTCTTAGTAACAAAAAGTTTTCCTTAAAAATAAAATATTGATTATTTTGATACTTTTTTCTAGTTACTAGAGTTTCTTTTATAAGACTTTTAATTGCTTTGGCATCTATTTATAAACTTGTTATTTATCAAATGAACGTAAAAAGTACATTTTTAAATGGTGATTTGGAAGAAAAAATTTATATACTTCAACCTGAAAGTTGTAAGGTTTTTGGACAAGAAAACAAAGTTTACTTCTTAAATTTTTATATGGATTGAAACAAGCACCTAAATAATGCCATGAAAAGTTTGATATAATTTTGACAAACCATGATTTTTCCTCAATTGAAGTTGATAGATGTGTGTATGTAAAAGAAGAAAATGGTAAATGTATTACTATTTGTTTATATGGAGATGATTTGCTTATTTTTAGGACTTGTAAAGATGCAGTTGATAATATAAAAAGATGTCTTGCCTCTAATTTTAATACAAAAAATATGGATAAAGCAAGTGTAACTTTGAATATTAAATTTATAAGAAAGGATGATAGTATAATGCTATATCAAGAACATTATGTTGAAAAACTTCTTAAATTTGAATACTTTGAAACTAAACGTATCTCTTATGATGGCAACACTCAATTAAAGAAAAAATATGAGATCTTGCATCTCAGCCTAAATATGCTCAAATCATTAAAAATTTGTTGTATTTAATAAATTTCTCTCACTCGACATAATATAGGTTGAAATAGATTGTGTAGGTACACACAATTTCAATAATAAGCATTGGACTGCATTAATTAGAGTGATGAAATATTTAAGAAGTACCATGAATTATAGTATTTTAGATAGTATATTTCTTATTGTATTGGATGACACTGATGCCGGATCTCTAGAGGGGACAAAATTCACTCACGATTGTGTATTTACAAACAAGACTGCGTTGTGTGTAAAAAAGTATTAAGTAAAGCATTTTATCCTGGTTTTATTAAACTTCTCTTCTTAAACGGAGTTTTTTTGGTGACAAAAGTCCAAAAATAATTCTTCAATAAAAACTAATTCGAGGAACTTATAATATTTTAGATTGAAAGGATAATACTGAAAGTTAAATTTATAATTTACTCCATTAATTACAATTGTGACTCGCAACAAATTTATGGCCTTATCAAACAATTTTCAACTCAAGGTTTGGATGTCCAACTCGAGCTTTGTGCCTTTCAAATAGATCGTGAAGTGCTTCAACAAACTGACTATGTATTTGGGCGACCTAAAACAAGGTAAAAATATAAAAGAGATCAAAAGTTTAGTCATCCGTAGCTCAAATTTATGAATACCTTGCAGGCCCAGTAGTTGCAAGTGCCCATCTAGAAACAGCTCATCCATATCATGTAAATCTTGGTTAGCTCCTGTATATTTTGCTTTATTTAAGCCTAAATGACTTGATTACCAAAGTTAATTCCATGGAAATAAAAACCTTCAGCGAAGGATAAGACAAGATATATTGTAAGGTTCAGATTCCAAATGGATGTTTTTATTATTGGCGAAATTTCTTTACTATCATCTTGGCAACTTAATAATAAGATGAAGAAAAACTGTAAAGAATGAAAAAAGCAGGCATTTTTATGTGGAAGAGGTTAGAAGTTACTGGACACTTGTGGATGCTATTGAACATAGAAGGCATGATAGTATAGATTTGATTTCTCTAAAATGAGCAAATATATATAGTGATAAAGTATGAGATCATCCACTGTTGATTTTTAGTTAAGATCACAAGGTACCTTAATTGAAATCAACGATGGATGCACCCTTATTTTATCATGTGACACATTTTTTCGCTTCAGAAAAATTAAATCATGTAGTATACCTCTTCTGTAGTTGGATCCGGTTTTCTCTCGAGCTCAATTGGTCTACCCACCACCACATGCATTGGGTGTTTAAATGGCAATGGGGATCTGGAGAAGAGACAATCAGTGATAAAAATTAGTTCCACAGAACAAAAACTTCCGTGCTAGTACTTTAAACTTTGTATTTGCACGCCAATCAAATGACTACTGTCCCCAAATAAACGATTCCATTTTGATAAAAGAAAATGCTTCATGAAATGAAATTTTATATAAAAAGAATGCGTCAGTAACTAGCTGCTAAAATCTGACTGTAAAAGGCAGGCATAATGCAAAACATCAATTGAATCCACCCACTCCCAATCATGTTTCTAAGAAAATATTTTAAGCTGAACCAAAAAAAAAAAAAACCTTCTATATTATGTACCAAACTGACTCTCAAATTGGTTTGACATTTTTAATAAAGGCTCATTCTATTATTCCATCTCTTCCAATTTAATTCTTTGAACAGCCTCAACTTTGAATAAAAGAAGAAGTGAAAACAGGAGTAAAGGAGATCACAAGCAAGAGGCAAATTGAGATATGAAAGAAACACAAACCCGAAAATTCCCCAAAAATATATTGGAGTGAACTTGATAGCCCTTGCAAAATTCAGAATTAACTTCCCACCTGGTTTCCACCACTTATAGACCTCTGACTACAGCAAGATTGCACCAAAAGGGGAATGATAGTTGATTTGAATGAACAGATAAAATCAGAAACATAAATTAGCAACATTAACAGACAAGGTAACAGCACACAGCTATGTTAAACAGTTTTGTGCAACTAATATCTGCAGCCAGTAAATAAATGTTTCAAGATTCTATAAGAATCAAGGAGATACAGGCAAAACATAAATACCTGTCCGAAGCAGAAAACTGGAACCAAAGGTTGTCCCTTCTGCATTGCTATGCGGACAAATCCTCTTCTTGCCTTAAGAAAGGCAATCTAGAAAGCAAATATTTATTAATAGTTAACCTATACGAATATAACTCATAAATAAACAAGTTTCATATTGTAAGACCATTTTTTATTTACAAACCTTATCTACCTATCTTTGCAAACAATACAAGTTAAATGCAAAGCAAAATGAAAAACTGCAAGAGAGAGTGATGTACTTATCCTGAATATACTCTCTGCAATTTTATAAATATTTTGTGACCACACAATTTGGTATAATCATAAAAGAAAACATGCACAGGTTGTTTAACTGATAAATTGTAAATTTGTTATCAGTTCAGTCCACCAAAGTAATCAAATTTAGATGACTTAAAAGCCAATCTCAGAATTCAAACAAACAGGACTATGATGTTATTGTTGATTGTTATTTCTTTGTTTTTATTACAATTGTTGTGGACATAGCACGCATCATATACAAGCTTTCGTTCTTTCTTACACTTGCTACCATTAATAGCACACAGTAGTTTCATGACATAGTTGCTTGTCAACTATTCTACATGCCATAATTTCCTTATAAACCTACTGGCATTGCTTCTCAATTATTCTAAATAGTATTTTATTGTTCTGTAACTTACATACACATGCAAACTTTGCTTTTAAAAATCCACAGCAACATCACTCTTCGATGGAACTTTCAAACTTCCAACCTTTTCGCTGTATGCACAAATTCTAGAACTACTTGGTTACAATCTGAACCTTAGAATCATTCTGTTCCTTATTCTACCTCCCCTTCAAGTGTTGAAAATTTTTGCCAGATCCTCACCCTTTCCATAGCTTGAGCCCCCACTGCAATACAGTGTGAGATCTGAAGAAGGTAGAATAAAGGATTTAACTGCCTGCTCTATTCAACTTATGTTAGGCATTCCATAAGTGTTTGTCTGGGTTTAGGGGAAATGATCAGGAGCAAGGAGAATGGGGAGGATCCTGGAGCATTTGGTACCTTTAGGGAGGAAGCAAAAACCTCAGAGAGCTGCAACCATCATCATTTATGTTCTTGTTTTGCGTGTTTTTGAGTCATTACATATGTCTGCTGCTGTAAGGAGTTAATCTCCATATTTTAACAAATCCAAGTTTCCATCTGCTTATGCAGTGAATGCTCTGTTCAAAGCTTCTAATGCAGTATTTGTCTAATAGATAAAGCATGCTTGATCAACCTTGTTTCTTAGTGCACTGTTAATCGTGCATAATCCACAGTTCTATATTCTCTCAGAACACTACATTACTTTAGTATCACCAATCAGGCACAACATAGTATCATTGGCAAGTTAAGCTGAAACATTTCAGGCTATTGATCCTTCAAATCAGTCTATAACTATATAAATGAATCAAAAGAATGTGTTTTACACTCTTCTATCTAATCTGAATTTAAATTAGATATCAAATATCAAATGGGAAAAAGACCAAAGTAATATGACAATCAAACATATGCCGCTTAGAGGGTAATTGAGCCCAAGTGCTTGCATAGCAAGAGGGAAAATGCTTATTACCAATGTATTAGTAAACATTAAAATATCACAATCCTATATCTAAAAGGATAAAAATACAAATATAGTCAAGAGGGAGAGTGAAAAACAGTGTACCTCTGCACCATGCTCCATGAGAAATGTTTCTTGCACCCCACCAGGTATTAAGATACAACTATGACCAGTGTCCAATAGAGAGGTAAAGTTTCTCTTTGTTGCTGGTGTCAGACCCAACCATGTCCATATGTGTCTCAAAAATGGTGTGTAAAATATCTATTTGTCAAATGTGGTGAGATAAATTTAAATTATATCCTCAATAATCTTCATTATAAAACAGGGTCTATTAAAGCCTTACAGCACTGCTAGCAAGAACTTTTATTTTTGGAAGAGGCATAAAACCCGTGTTGTCAGCTAATGAAACAACTCCAATTGGCAAAACTGAATGTGGTTCATAACCAAAAACTGCATGAAAAACATCATGTTAATATCAATGAGCGACTAACAAGAAAATACATATAAACCAGGAATCATTGCCATGATTAACCAATGGAATGCTACAATAATTATATATATGAGTCAAGCTAGATCATCTTATATTACCTTCTTGATCATATATATCAAATTTCACGAAATTTAAATATTTGTAGATATGATATCTAAAATTTGATATTTACTTATATTTTAAAAACATATTACCCGTTTAAATAAAATAAAGTGGTTAAATACTTAATCATTTTTTTTTATATGAAATTTGCTGAAGTTCATCTACTTTATTACAACTTTCAAACTAACAGTCGAATTAATCAATATCACATTCTGTGAAAAGTTATTAAGCGGAGTGAGTGCTTAAGTTTGACACTTGATCTCAATAGATCTTGACTTTATATATATTGTGCTAATCAGGAATCATAGATTCCATATTAAGACTTACAAAAATTAATTTGAACCAAACATGCCACCTTAAAATTTGTGCTCTGCCCAAGGATAAGCAAGAAATTGCTTCGTCCAGGACAATTATACATATTCACACCATGTTGAATCTTTAAAATGAAAGAATTGTTTCATTTAGAAATGAATCCTAGTATAAACTTGTTTGGAACAATAATAGTTCAAAAATCCAATAAATCTAGAAATCAGTTTGTTCAGGCAGGGCTATCAGCACTATCATGGTCTATCCACAGTTCCAACCATCACTATCATAGATGCTTTTCCCTTCTGTTTCAGAACAAAGAAAATGAGAGGAGAGAAAAAAGCTTTGAAATTTGAATGCAAGAGAAAATGAGATAAAAATGTGTTGAATTTTAGTTTTTAAAACTTAAATTTTCTCTTTTTATTTTCTCTTAAACCAATAAATAAATTGTTTTTATTATCTTCAATTCTCAGACCTAAGTTTAAGTACGTAAATATAGTAATTTTTTATTTAAAAGAATAACACTTTTATTACACCTTTTTTATTCTAAAGGAGATAAATACCTTATTGGCTAATAAGAATTTACTATTTTTAGTTGTTTATTTCCGGTCCCACTCCTAAGAGCTTAAGATAGCATTTTTCAAAACAAATACATCACAATCAGATCAGTACTTTTTCTTTTTTATTTTCCTTCCTTTCATCAAAACAAACCAAAAGTATTCTTTATTTAAAAAAAGAAATTCACCTCAATAACTTGAAAAAAGAAAAAGCCAATAAGTGCAAGTTAGTAAGATAAAACTGTAATTTGATAGAATAACGTAACAAAACAACCTTCAGAACTGTAGAAAAGATTTTTCATTTAATTTATTAAAAACTAAAACTTAAAACAGTTAGTCAGCAATAAAGAGTGCCACCCAATTTCTAATGGTCCCTTTAAATAAATTTAAGCAAAGTTATGCTTTTGTCAACTGTCACCATTATGATTATGGAGCAACCGAGAAAGGGAAACGATAATCTCAAGTCTCAACCTTCCTAAATCCATCCTCCCCCTTTTCCAATGACCTTTCTTCCTAATCAGAACTACAAAGCAAACTCACCAAAATTTTAAAAAAATATATATAAATATATGTTCTCATTCAGAAAATATATATGTATATTGAACTAATAGCTTGGTACAAACCATAAGCACGATTAGGATTAAAGGCCTTTATATCCTCCACGTGAAGCGTGATGGGAAAGTAGCTGCAAGCGTGCTTGCATATGTACCTGAAACAAATCCGTAAGAAAATATATACTTTTTATTCCAAACCAGAAAAGGAAGACACTAAAATTGTGAGTCACAAAAAGAAATGAAATTAAAAAGAAAAAAGAAAAAAAAAACGAAAAGTACCTGGACAACTTTCGACCAAACTTGCTCTTTTCATCCACGGGAATCACCATCAACACAAAAAGCAAACCAAAAACCCTGACACGAACGAAACCTTATAATTTAACATCACTCACATATATGTATTATACATATAAGTCAAAGGAAGAAGGAAGAAGAAAAAACGAACAAGAGAGCTTTGGAGAGAGGAAGGAAGAGAAGTGTGAAGAGCACCAAAGCAGCGTTGAAATGAATGGTTCCAAGCCACAACGCCAAAGCCAGAATCGACTTAAAGTAATTTGACGACGTGTCAGCGAATTCTTCAATCCCTTTGAACACTGTCTCCCCCTCCGCCGCCGCCACGCCGGAATGCCGCCGGTGATCTTCCGGCGCCGCCGCGATATTTCCGCGCTGCATCGTCAGTGGGTATGAGAGGGAGGGAAGGGTGTTCAGTATTGTTATGAAGGAAGCGAAGCGAGATGGGTCAAGAAAAATGGGGAACGTGTGACTGTGAGGGGTAAAATTGTCACGTGGCTTCGTCTCGGAGTTTCCACCTCCATCTAATTCGCTGTCTCATGTTTTGTCTTTTTCCTTTTTTTATTTTGAAATAAAATGTTTTAGAAAATTCACCACAATTAATGACGCATGCAAACTTATGGATGACCAACGTTACTCCGAACATCTCGCCAACTGTAAGAAATTTTTTTCGGTGCGGTAAGGCTATATATTTTTTATTATTTAATATTTTAATAATGTTTAAGATAGTTAATGACGCATGAAACTTCATGCAGTAGGTGTAATTGGATTGAGTTGGCTTGAGTTTAGAAAAAATGATTAATTTTTTTACAGTAAGGTTTTTTTTAAGTAATGCTATAGTTTTGAATTTTTAATATATATTTAAGATAATTAATGACACATGGAAATTCATGGAGTAGGGTATAATTGGATTGAGTTAGTTTAAGTTAAAAATAATAATATACAAAATGATTAAAAATAATTAGTTCAAGTTAGTTTTATTTCTGTAGTTTTTTTATTAATTTAATCTTAATCCGTTAAGATTTGAATTAGTTTAAATTTTATCATCAATTTATTATATTTATTAAAAATTAAAAATAAATTAAAAATTATTAAATATTAGTATATATTTTTAAAAAATATAATTTATCGTACTAATAAACTTATGAATTAGCAATATTTTAATATAATTAAATACAATACTAATAATTCATTAAAATAAATGAAATATTAATAGTTCAATAAATTTTGAATAATTTTCTTTTGATAACTTTTTTTTATTATAAAGTAACGTAAATCTGTAATTTTTATTAAGTTTTATTTTTTAATCCAAAATAATTATACTTAATAAAATGAGGTAAAAATTATGAATTTTTAACTACGAAACTAATTGAAATTTATAATTACATAAATAACTTATAAATTTAAAAATATTTGACAAACTAATTATATAACTTGCTAATTTTCATTAAATGATTTAAAAAAATATGTAATATTATATTAACGTAATATTAAAATTAATTATCACTTATATTATTTATTAAAAATTAATTAATTAAATAATTATATAAAAGTAAAAAAAATTCTTTATATTTATTTAAAAATAAAATATTTTAAATTATATATTTTTAATAAAATATATTTAAAAAATAAAAATGAAAAATAAAAAATAAGTAAGACTATGATAAATATGAAGAGAAGAAAAAATAATATAAAATTTATGTACATCATGTTTTGATTATATAATAAATAAGTTATTTTTTATAAAAAAATAAAAATATAATAATTAATTTTTAAAAATTAAAATTTTTTTAGATAAATTTTTAAAATTACAATTTTTTTATTTTATATTTATTAAAAAATTCTACAAATTTATTGATTAAATTAATAAATTATAAATTTTTAAATAAATTAGAAACTAAATTTAGCAAACATAATCAATTTATTTAAATGACAACCATAACAATTAATTTTTTTTCATCTGATTTATTTTACATCCAACATAAGTCACGCACCTAAGTATGGTAAATGAGTTTATCATTAAAAATTTTGTATACACAAAAATTTAAACTTAAAACTTTATTTAAACGATATTAAGTCAATTACAACTCAGACCAATCTCCATTGGTAAAATTATCTATTATCAAACAAATCAAATTATATTGGCCATATAAAATAAGTGAATATATAAAATTATTTACTTACATCCATCAAGTTGGTTTTTTGAATTTACCACTTGCCCTATTTAAATTTTAAAAAATATGTGTTTAAAATTAAATCATATAAATTTATAAAATAAATGAAAAATTATATAATTTTCAAATAATACATCAGATAAAAAAATTATATTTATACAAATTTATGTCTTTATTAATCTTAATTTATTTAATTTTTTAATTATATGGCTCAATCCGCAGACTCAAACTATATAATCAGTTATATGTGTACTTAGATTTTAAATAACGAAGTTAGAATTTAATGTTTTTAAAAAATTTAAATTACATGAAATAAATTATAGTTAATAACTGTGTTATAAAATAACCAATTCACCTTTTCTATTAAAACAAATTCAAACAAAACATAGAAATATTATTCTTTTATGAATTAATAATTTTTTTAGGCAATTTAAAACCACAAATTAAATAACTCGTTATTAATTGATCCACATGTTTAGTGGTATTTAAAACTAATTTTTAACACACTAAAAATAAACATTTTAATATTTTTGAATAATTTTATAAATTATAAAATAAATACATTTTGAACGCTTATTTGAGGTGATTATAAGTAATAAATTAATGTTATTATTAATTTTTAAAATTAAATATCAAATTTTAACATATATGATGTTGATAGGTAGTAATGACAACTACAGTAATAGCTCTAGTGCATGATAAGGGTGTCAATGAACAAATTAGGGTGGTAGCATTGCCATGGCAACAAGATTAAAGATAATACTAACAATGTTTGCATCATTATGGTAATAATGGTGAAAAGTTAAAAGTAATGAAAATAGTGATAATGAAAATAGTGATAATAAGGAGATAAAAGTTTACATGTGATAGCAATTACAATGATAAAAATAAATAGAGGTGAGGATAGAAGATGTGAGGGTGGTGACTGGTGATGTGTAGAGACATTGGTGACTGGTGATGTATGACTCTTTCATGAGCTATTTTATTTTATATTTTATATTTTAAAAATTATATTTTGGAAAATTATGATTGATGAGAATCATAATTCATAAGAATATTATAAATATATTTGAAATAATTAAAATATTTTCATATATATAACACCGAAACTGTAATATTAAATTAGCTTTCATCAAAATCTTTTGTTAAAAAATATATTGTTGATAAATATAATTAAAAATATTCTTAAGAAAATGATTTATTGAGATTATTTTTAAATATTGATCGTAAATATACGAATCCAATATTTCTAACGTAAAATTCCTATAGAACATAAAAAAAATCCTATAAAAACCTCCTAAAATAATGTTTAACCATTTTGTTTTATAAATAAAAACTAAAATTTACATTTATCTTTTTGACATTTTCAAAATTTAATAAAAATTTCTTATAATTGAGTTGAAAATAAATTTACCACTATTCTAGTTGAATTTATTTTAAAATTTTCATTAAAAATTAAAAAATTACAATTACCCTAAATTAATCTTTAGTTATATTTAATTAATCACTTTTTTATTATTAAAATAACTATATTTCAATAATTTTTGTGAGTTTATAGGTTTAAAATTCATCAAAGTCCATGATTTATGCAATGGTATTTATGATTGGAATAATTGAAGTTTTAAAGAAAGGTTTAAATATATTTTAATTGTTACTGTACAGAATTCAGTAGTTATGTTATAATCATTTAAATATTTAATTAATGATTAATTGTGTTTATTAAACTACTATAAAATTATTGTACTAATTCATTTTTTGGTAATAATTTTACAATCTTTCTCTTTTTAATTTTAGATAATCCTAATATGATATTAATTGCACAAGTTTCTCTGTACAACTTTCTTTCTCTTTTGTTTTTATATAAAAAAGTTCATTCATTAACTTCTTCATGATATCATGATGACGTTTTAAACTCATATTTTCTTCACCTTTTAGATAATTTAAAGTTTCTTTTTATTTTTTATGCATTCACATATGAGAATTATAATTTATCAAATTGATCTATAGCCAAAATCAAATTTGGTCTCACGGATGGATCAATTCTAAAATATTGACATAAATCTTAGAACTTGTGGTTACCATCATGCATGACAAATTTGTTGTTGTTATATGAACAGTCTTATAAGATTATTTTCAATAATGCCATGGTCTAATATCCTATTAATTGTGCACAAAACTTATTGGTTTGCACTAATTTTTCATGTTTATGAACTATTATTTTAGGGTTTGTTTGAATGTCCTTTTAAAGAGGGGAGGGAAGGAAAATGAAAGGTTTATTTATAATTAAATCTTGTTTGAGAGTTAAGAAAAAGTAAGGGAAAATATTAGGATTTTTTTTTAGACATTCCAAAGTCTTCTGAATTCAATTTTTGGAGTTCTTCTAATATTTAGAGTTTTTTCAAATTTTAAACATTCAAACAAGAGAAAGATTTAACTTTCTTTCTCCTCCCTAGAAGTGTCAAATGAGTCAGTTTTAATTAATTTAGTTCTAACTAATTTAACTCTAATGCATGTAGGTTAGGTCCAAAAAGTCCATGGCGTAAAAAAAACCCACTATATAAAAAGTCCATAAAATTAAGTGGATTAGGACTAACCCATGGATCAACTATCTTTTAAAAAATTATTATAATCTATTAAAAATATGAATTTTATATAACATATTTTTTACTATAAATTTATAAATAAATAAAATAATTTTAAAAGTAGATAAAAAATAATTAAATTTGTATAATATCACATATTTAGAATGAATTATTGTTATTAAATAATATTAAATAAAATATAATATTTTGAATCAATGTCAATAATTGATAATATTTCTTTCATCTCAAATATCACAAAATATGTAGCATATGTTACTCATGATTCAATTACACACCTATAGGTATTAATTTACTTCATGCTACTTAGTACTAAACTATATTTCCCATTATTCAACACATATAAATTATTAATGCTAGAGTAACAAGTAATATTGCTTGATTTCATTTACCATCACCCAATTTCAAACAAATTTATTTTTTTCCTAGCAAAGTGTACTATCTTTGTTCCTTCTATTAATTCTATTCATCTAAATGTTAATCTTGTTATGCATAATACACATTATATACCATAATTTGATGTTAAGTTTCTCTTAACAATATTTTATCTAACCATTAATATTTCTATATCTTTTAATACTAACTATAATTTTTAAGATCACAAAATCTTGAAGTTGATTAGAAAATTGACATAATTTCAAAATGACATATCCTTTACTTCAAATCAATAAATCCAAAACTAATGTATATATTTTAAAATGTATACATGTTTTATACCATCAATACTTATCTCATCTTAAATTATCTTTTATTAA